GAAGGGTGAAAAGATTTTGAGAGCCACCTATGGTGTCTGCTATACATAGCAAGTACAATTTTCAGGGAGAAAGCTGCACAGTCAGGGATGGGACAGTGATGGTGAATCGAGAAGATCCATGTTCTGTGGTCATTTCCCATTTCAAGGACACTTCACAGGGCCCAAAACTTAGAGTCCCAAGACCTCTAGTAGGTCTGAGTCCAGCTTTTCTATGTACTAGTTTATGTAATCTTGGAGCTTCTCTGAATTTTAATGCCTCCTCTGTAAAGTGGGAAGTTATTTTATGCAAAATTGAAGTTTACTGGTTTGAAATTGTGTGATATTGAAAGTCTCATGTACAAATTTGAATGAATACAAATCCCAGTAGGTTTTTTTTTGTTTGTTTGTTTGCTTTTGAGTTGGAGTCTTACTCTGTTGCCCAGACTGGAGTGCAGTGGCATGCTCCCGGCCACTGCAACCTCGACCTGCTGGGCTCCAGCAATCCTCCCGCCTCAGCCTTCCAAGGAGCTGGAACTACAGGCGTGCGCTACCACACTCGGCTAATTTTTGATTTATTGTAGAGATGAGGTCTCACCAAGTTGCCCAGGCGGGTCTCAAACCCACGGGCTCAGACAATCCACTCACCTCAGCCTCCCAACGCGCGGGATTACAGGCTGAGCCACCGAGCCTGGCCACATCTCAGTAAGTTAAGAGAATTTATTGACCACATGATTTCTTTTTTTTTTTTTTTTTTGAGTTGGAGTCTCACTCTGTCACCCAGACTGGAGTGCAGTTGCCGCTCCCGGCCACCACAGCCTCGAGCTGCTGGGCTCCGGCGATCCTTCCACCTCAGCCTTCCAAGGAACTGGAACTACAGGCATGCGCTACCATGCTCAGCTAATTTTTAATTTATTATAGAGATGAGGTCTTGCCAAGTTGCCCAGGCGGGTCTCGAACCCGCGGGCTCAGGCAATCCACTCACCTCAGCCTCCCAAAGGCACGGGATTACAGGCTGAGCCACCGAGCCCGGCTTGTGCAGCAGTTTTTAATGGTTGTATGTGAGTAAAGGTTCATCAAATCATAACACTCCTTTGCTTAGATCCTTCCAGTGGCTCCCTAAATCACTCATAGTAAAAATCAATTTCCAGTTAGGAGCAGTGGCTCACACATGTAATCCTAGTACTTGGGGAGGCCAAGACAGGAGGATTGTTTGAGCCCAGGAATTTGAGACCAGCCTAGGCAAAAATAGCGAGACTTCATCTCTACAAAAAATAAAAATAAAAAAGTTAGCCAGATGTGGTGGTGTAGGCCTGTAGTCCCAGCTGCTCTACAGACTGATGCAGAAGGATCTCCTGAGCCCAGGAGGTCAAGGCTGTGATCATGCCACTACATTCAAGCCTGGGCGACAGAGTGAAATCCCTACTCAAAAACAAAACACAACTTCTTGACAAGGCCCTTTATAGTCTGCTTTGAGGCCACATCCGTTTTTCTCTCTCTCACTCAACCTAATTCTAATTTCAGTTCCAGTGGGGCCATATAGACCTCTTTGCTATTTCTTGATTTCAAATTCTAGTTGTTCATTGTTGGTATATAGAAAAGCAGTTGACTTTTGTATATTAGTCTTGTATCTTGTATACTTGCTATAATCACTGTTCCAGCGATTTTTGTTTTTCGCTTGGTCAGTTTTTTGGGATTTTCTATATAGACAGTCATGTTATTTGCAAACAGACAGTGTTCTTTCTTTCCAATCTGTAGAGCTTTAATTACCATTTCTGGCTTATTGCAGTAGCTAATAAAATGTTGCATAGGAGTGGTGAAAGGGGCATCTGACCTTGTTCCTGATCTTTGAGAGAAAGCATCCTATGTTTTACTAAGTACGAAGTTAGCCGTAAGTTCTTTGCAGATGTTCTTCATCAAGTTGAGGAAATTCCCTTATATTCCCCTGATGCTGCCCCATCAACTAGATTGTAGCTCTATCAGGACAGAGAGCTTTGTTTACTTTGTTCATTGCCATATCTTTCCTCCCTAGGAAGGTACCTGGAACTTACCAGATGTGAAAATATTTGTTGAACAAATGAATGGAAACCATGGTTAATAATGTTGTAGCAAAAGAATATGTAAAAGTTAGTTGTTTTTATATTTGGGGAAAACTGTTCACCGAATTAGTGGAAAGTAAAAATTGTTGATGACTTTTATGAAATTCGGAAGGCATCTGACCACGTTTTGCTAATCAACTTTCTTTGGGCCTCAGTTTCTTGATTTTAAAATGAAAATTGGGCCAGGCATGGTGGTTTATGCCTATAACCCCAGCAAATTGAGCCCAGCCTGGACAATATAGCAGGACCCCTTCCTCTGCAAGAACAAAATTTGGCTGTGTGTGGTGTTGCATGCTTGTAGTCCCAGCTACTTGGGAGGGTGAGGCTGAATGATCACCTGAGCTCAGAAGATTGAGACTGTGGTGAGTTGTGATCATTCCAATCCAGTCTGGACAACAGAGTGAGACCACCCCCCAGGACTAAAATAAATAAATACATAAAAATAAATGATAAATAAATACATAAAAATAATTTTAAAAGTTAATATTGGTCTTAAGTTCTTTTCTGGTTTTCTTGTATGTTAGACTTTTCCTCCCCAGTTCTGGAGTATTTTAACAAGAAGGGAGTTCAGAGATCCTTAAGTCCTATGTTCTCTAGCCAGTGGATCAACTCTGCCTGTAAGTCCCAGGCTTGCCAGCCAATAGGTACAGCCTTCTGGTCCTCTCTCATGGCTCCTGGATGGGGTTCCTGGACGCCCATTTGGGAGAGGGGCCTGGGTCACAATGCTGACATGCTGCTCAAGAGTCAAACATATCTGCTTTTAAGTATCTGTGTGATGTGAATTGGATGACTTCACTTCTTTGAGCTTCAGTTTCCGTCTCTAAAATGGGCATGATATACACAGGTAAAGATTGTTTGTGGTTTTCTTGCATAGAACAAGTGCTTAAAATGGAATTGAATTGCTTATTCTGCCCCACATCTGCTTTGTGATCATCTTGATTCCACATCAGAATCACTTAGAAAACCTTTATAAGCAGTCCTGATGCCCTTGAAATCTTTAAGTGAAAGAAACCAAACACAAAAGGCTATATGTGGTATGATTCCATGTGTATGAACTATCCATAGTAGATAAATGCGTGGAGTCAGATGCAGATTGGGTATTGCCAGGGGCCGAAGGAGGGGAAGAACCCACGTAATGGTGAGGGGTTTTACTTTAGAGTGTTGGAAAGGTTTTAGAACTAGATAGAAGTGGTTGAACAACACTGTGAATATACTATATGCAGTGGAATTGCTTTTCTTTTTCTTTACAGCTTTCTTGAGGCTTAATTGTCATATTATGAATTCCACATATTTAAATGTTGCAATTTGATGAGACTTGACATATGTATATTCTCAACTGTCACCACAACCAAGATAGTAAATGTATTTTATTCTCTCTCAAACTTTCCTCTTGGCCCTTTTAAGCATCATTTTAAATTCTCACTTCCAACCTTTCTCCCTTCCCCCTGACCCCTAGGCAGCCAGTGTTCTGTTTTCTGGTACTATTGAAAATTGTTTTCATTTTGTAGAATTTTATGTAGATGGAATCAGACAGCATGCACTAGCTTTGTCTGACTCCTTTCACCCAGCAGACTTATTTTAAAATTCATTTATGTTGCTGCATATATTAATAGTTCATACTTTTATTGCTGAACATATTCCATTGTATGGGTACAATACAAGTAATTTGTTGCATTCACCTGTTAGTGGACATTCGGGCTGTGTTCTTTTTTTTTTTTCCTTGAGTTGGAGTCTCACTCTGTCACCCAGACTGGAGTGCAGTGGCCACTCCAGTGGCCACTCAACCTGCTGGGCTCTGGCGATCCTTCTGCCTCAGCCTTCCAAGTAGCTGGAACTACAGGCGCGTGCTACCATGCCCGGCTAATTTTTTGTTTATTGTAGAGATGAGGTCTTGCCAAGTTGCCCAGGTAGGTTTGGGGCAATTACAGCTGAGGCTGCTATGAGCCTTCATGTGTAAATCTGTGGACATATGCGATGCTTTCTCTTGAGTGCCTGTCTTGTAGTGGGATGGCAAGGTCATGGGACATATGTGTGCATAAGCTCTTGTGGACATCTAAAAAGTAAAGTGTGATGAATTATTTGAAATGTTACAAATATATTTGGTAAAAGGAGAAGAAACCTGAATTTTTCATTGGTGAGGCTATTAACTTTGAAAACTATGGTCTCAGTAGAGTGGGAAGGGGTATCTAGGTAGGTGGGAAGCTTTTTAGAATGGGATTAGGAAAAACTGACGGGTGAAGGTTAAGTTTGGGTAGGGAGTATTGCTAACTCAAGATCTGTTGTTATTGTAGAGCATAAAGTTGTTTTTGGAAGTCATGAATTGCTCGTTTTAAAATGGCTAATTTTATATTATGTGATTTGCACCTTGATTTTAAAAAAGGAAACATAAAATCCAGGCGACACTTCAGGCCAACTAAATCAGAATCTCTGGGTATAGGTCCCAGCCATTGCTGTTTTTTTTTTTTTTTTTAAAGTTCTGTAGGTGATTCCAGTATGTAGCCAGAGTTGAGGAGCAGTGATGTAAGGAGACGTTGGCAAACTTTAAAGGTCTGGATAATAATTATTTTCAGCGTTGGGCACCATAAGTTCTCTATCCTTAACTATTCAACTCTGCCACTGAATTTGTAAAAGCAGCCATATACAACATGTAATGAATGAATATGGCATGTTTTTCTAAAACTGATTCATGATAACAGGCAGCAGGTCAGTGTGTGCTGACCCTGTTCTGAAGTCTGGCGTTAGCCTACTCCAGAGCCTTTGTTGAAGGAAACTGACCTCCCAGGCAGAACCAGGCCGATGAAGGCAGCTGTGCTGCCTATTTCACTTTTTCCCATTGGGCATACGTAATTACTTAAGAAAAGAATAAACATCCTAGCATTAAAAAAAAAAGAACATTAAAATGCTGACACTTGTGTTTAATTCTAGCTGCAAAAGACAAGGAAAAGAATAAAGAGAAGAAATTCAAAGAATTTGTGAGAGTAAAGCCAAAGAAGAAAAAGAAAAAGAAAAAGAAAGTCAAACCTGGTAATTTTCCCCTCACTTTCATTTAGGTTTCCTTACCATAGGTAGATGGGATTGCTTTCTCCCACTGTGTCCTCCAGGCCTGTACTGAGCAGAGGAAGGTCTACAGGCCTTGACCAGGACTTGTGGGCTTAGTCTTGCATGGGCAGGGGAGGCTCCCACTCACGCAGGTGTACAGAGTCTGGTTGGCATTTCAAAGCCCCCTCCCACCCCCACCTACTTCATTGGTTGGTGTGCCCTGGCACAGGGTGGCTTATATGAATTCATCAAAGTATGCGGGGAAGTGTAGGTGAGTGTTCATACACAGAACTTGTGAGCCAGGGTCTCACTGTTGCCTAGGCTGGAATGCAGTGGCATGATCTTGGCTCACTGTAGCTTCGACCTTCTGGGCTCAGGTGATCCTCCTCCATCAGCCACTTGGAGTGCTGGGATTACAGGCATGAGCCACTGTGCCCAGCCTCAGAACTTTTAAATACACATCTTTGAACCCTCTCAAGAAAGGATTCACTTCTTGAAAAGTGTGGCGGCCGGGTTTGGTGGCTCAGCCTGCAGTCCCAACACTTTGGGAGGCCAAGGTGAGTGAATTGCCTGAGCCCGCGGGTTCGAGACTCACCCGGGCAACTTGGCGAGGCCTCATCTCTACAATAAATAAAAAATTAGCCAGGCATGGTAGTGCACGCTTGTAGTTCCAGCTACTTGGAAAGTTGAGGCACAAGGATCGCTAGAGCCCAACAGGGCGAGGCTGCAGTGACCAGGAGTGTGCCACTGCACTCCAGTCCGGGTGACAGAGTGAGACTACAACTCAAAAAAAAAAAGAAAAGAAAAGTGTGTGTCTGGCCCCCACAAAAATGTTTAAGAAATCTGTGTTCCAACCTTGGGAGCATAAGGAATGACACGTTTTGTTCTTGTTGTATTTTGGTGCTTATAAACACACTCTTATCAGAAAGAGAAGAGAAGAGTGAGTGGGGGAAGAGGAGGTGTTTGAGTCTGAGATTCTTGCAGGTAGAAGGAAGTATTAATTCCTACGTCTACCCTCCACACTCATTATGGTTGTGGTTGAATTGTCCCTGAGCTCTTTGAACAGTAGACTTGTTGATTGGTTGATTCTAGAATACCCTGACTATGTCTGGGGTTGTTTATTCCTTCCTGATTCTTTCAGAATGCCCCTGCAGTGAGGAGATCAGTGACACCTCCCAGGAACCTTCACCCAAAGCATTTGCTGTCACCAGATGTGGATCCTCACAGAAGCCTGGGGTCCGTATGAGTCCGCAGCTCCATGGCTCAGAATCTGGAAACCACAAAGGGAAAGTGAAAGCATGCGGTAAGGAGTCTCTATCTGATCATTTGCCGATCACTTGTTGGAAGGTTCCGGCATACCCATGGGCTTGGATCCAGACTACCACAATAAAGCTAAAATCGCAGCATAGCAAGTCACACACATTTTTTGGCTTTCCAGTGCATATAAAAGTTATGTTTATACTATACTGTAGTCTGTTAAGTGGGCAGTAGCATTACATCTAAAAAATACACATACCTTAGTTGAAAAGTACTTTATTGCAATATTGAAACAATTGTAATTCATCCACTGACAGACACTGTGTAACTGACTCTCCTATTCCACAAACCATAACTGCAACTTTGATTAAACAAAACTGATTTCAGTGACTTTCTCATGTTAGGACCACTAACCATGAAGTGCTTCTGGCTAGTTTACAGAGAATGTACACTTGCATACCTTGGGGTCCCTGATGCAGTTTTTGACATATAGGGCTTAACTGTATTGCACTTAAATGTTAAGTCTGCACCCCAAAGTGAACATGGGTCACATGTAATATACATGTTTATTCAACACGCATGTGTGTGTCTCCCCTTCATGAATAATCATAGCTCTTCTTATAACCTGTTGGATATGTGTACTTGTCCAACCTACTCAACATAAATTCCTTCCTTCCCTGGAAGTATCTATCTGCCTTTCAGCTTTGCCTGAAAACTATACTTCTCAGCCTGTCAGAATGGCCATCTTGCAGGCTGCCACCCTTTATAAGAATAAAGTCTCCTTTCCAAATTAGAAGAAAAGTAAAAAAATACTTTATTGCTAAAAAATGCTGACACAGAGACATGAAATAAATATATGCTGTTGGAAAGATGGCATCAGTAGATTTGTTGGATACAGCGTTGCCACAAACCTTAAACTTGTGAAAAAATACAATATCTGTGAATTGCAGCAAAATGAGGTATGTCTGTGTTTAGGACAGTGTCTGTTGCAGAATAAACCCTTAGTGAAAGTTAGCAGTGATTATAAATAATGAGGCACCCAGACCTAGTAATTCCGGTTCTGATTGTCCCTGGAATCTTCCCCTCCTCATTCCCCACTGTCTGCAGAGGTTTGTTGTTGTTGTTGTTATTGTTTTGTTTTTCATTTTATTTTTTTAGTTAGAGTCTCTCTCTGTTGCTCAGGCTGGAGTGCAGTAGCACACTCATGGCTACCACAGCCTCAAACTGCTGGGCTCAGGCCATCCTTCTGCCTCAACCTTCCCAGTAGCTGGAACTACAGGCACATGCCACCATGCCTGTCTAATTTTCTTGATTTATTGTAGAGATGAGGTCTCACCTCATTGCCCAGGCTGGTCTCAAACCCATAGGCTCAGGCAATCCTCTCTCTCACTTTGGCCTTCCAAAGTGTTGGGATTATAGGCGTGAGCCACCATGCCTGGCCTGTCTGCAGAATTTTACAGGTGGCTCTGGATACAGACTGCCGGTAAGCCAAGTCCTGGCTGGATGGGGTGAGGGTGAGACTGAGGAATGTGTTCGCATCATTAGAGATGATGGTCTGTGTGGTTCCTGGGGAGTTGTAGCTGCTCTGCCAACGAGCTTTGTGACTTGGACAGCCCCTGACCTTGGGCTTCATTCTCTCAGTGAAATAAAGATGGAAATCATTGCCAGGAAAACTACTTCATCTGGGCTGTTACTCGATGGTAGGCCCAAGGAAGAGATTGGCATCCTCATTTCTCAGCCTTGTGAACACTCGTGGAAGAGTGGGTCTGTGAGATCATTTCCTGCTTCTGACCATCTAGGGTTTTTAAAATTATATAACTATGATTTAAAATAGTGACTGTTGTTTTCCCTTTCCTCTCAGGGGAGGATAATTTGAGTGAGTCCTCTTCTGAGAGCTTTCTTTGGAGTGACGAGGAGTACAGCCAAGACGTGGATGTGACCACCAACCCAGACGAAGAACTTGATGGGGATGACCGCTATGATTTTGAGGTGGTCCGTTGCGTCTGTGAGGTCCAAGAGGAAAATGATTTCATGATTCAGGTAGGTAGAGCTTCCAAAAAACAGGTCTAAAGAAGCACAAACTGGTCCTTGGAGGGAATTCTGAGGCCAACAACAGTGGCAAGTCACATCAGAGCTCTAGAGTATAGTATTAACAGTAGCAGGCTGAGCTTTGCATTCTGGTTCAGCTTCTTCAGAATCCTAGACTACTGTAAATAGTCCATTAACAGAATCAGGCAACACTTGAGGAATCATTGAGTCTAAACTCACGCTCACTTGAGGCAACTGAGACCCGCCAGTGGGAAAGGCCTTGCCTTTGGTCACAAAGGGAAGAGTTAAACAGCAGGGACCTGACTCTTGAGAGTGGCAGATGACTCTTCCTGTGGGCTCTTCTCTCCGAGATACATTTTCTTTATGGCCTAGAGTACTGGAGGCTGGTTTCATACTATCTCTGTTTCTTGCTGTTTTGTGTTTATCATCTCCATCTTCAAGAAGTGCCTGTGGGGTGGGACTTCCCTAACTGCTTGGGGAGACTGTTACGGGCCAGCACCTGCTTGTTCTTTTCTTTTCTGCTGCAAATTTCAGTTCTGATGGTGGTGGCTGCAGTCTGGCAGGCTCTGAGTGCTGTCATCAATTTCCTGGGTGTCCTATCTGGCTTAGAACCTTAGTTTTTAAAAGGAAGTCACTGTTCTATTGGTTAGGATTTTTTTAGGGGTAACTATGTCCTGGAACCCAGAGGCAGGGATGCCATCAGGCTCAGGAACCTAGAATTCCATCCTGAGGGACTTGGTCCATGTGTTTCCTGCTTCTCTCTGGAGTCCATTTGGTTCTTTTTCTTTTTGCTGCTTGCTTAAAATTTTTGAAATAAATGCAAAATGGAAAATGCAAGCTGGTCACCCATTCACTCCTGACCCACCTTTACATTTTTGTGTTCAAGAGACTAACTAGCTAGGCTAAGGCTGGAGACTTAGTCCTAATTCTAAATGCCTGGGCAAGGAGTTCCAGCCAGGCCTAGACCAGATATTAGCCTTTGTTTTGTTTTGTTTTGTTTTGAGTTGGAGTCTCACTCTGTTGTCCAGGCTAGAGTGCAGTGGCACGCTCAAGTCCACTGCAGCCTCAACCTGCTGGGCTCAGGTGATCCTTCTCCCTCAGCCTTCCAAGTAGCTGGAACTACAGGTGCGAGCTACCATGCCCGACTAATTTTTTGATTTATTGTAGAGACGAGTTCTCACCAAGTTGCCCAGGCTGGTCTCAGGCAATTCTCTTACCTTGGCCTCCCAAAATGCTGGGATTACAGACTTGAGTCACTGTGCCCAGCTGGATATTAGCGTTTGAAACAGTCACCTGTGGCAGAGGGGAAAGAGGTTTGTTATGGGTCAGATACCCACCTTTGTTCTAGTTAGGTGGTCTTGTGTTGGTAGAGGTTAGAAGGTGTGGACAGTGTCACATTGCACAAAAAGACTGCCTAGGCCCACCTTTGTTGTATGAATGAGGAATGGGGTTTTTCCCAGTGAAAGGAGTGGTTCCCCACAGCCTAGGTAGAATCCACATAGTTGATTTGAGATTGTGAGAAAAAAGCCCGGCCTCTTGCCTTGCTTTCTGTGGTAGAGTGCGGTTTCCTTGTCCTTATGTGCTGTAGGCTGACATGACATTGATTTTGGAAATTTACTTTTGGATCTTGACTTAATATACAGTTGAATTTATGCTTGTTATCCTTGAATTTGTCATCTTCTTTTTTTTTTAGTTGGAGTCTCAGTCTGTCACCCAGGCTGGAGGGCAGTGGCACGCTGATGGCCACCGCAGCCTTTACCTGCTGGGCTCAGGTGATCCTTCGACCTCAGCCTTCCAAGTAGCTGGAACTACAGGCATGTGCCACCATGCCTGGCTAATTTTTTGATTTACTGTAGAGATGAGATCTTGCCATGTTGCCCAGGCTGGTCTCGAACCCGTGGGCTCAGGCATTCCTCTCACCTTGGCCTCCCAGAGTGCTGGGAATTATAGGCGTGAGCCACCACATCCAGTGAGCTTGTTGTCTTCTTACTTAACAACCCCCTTTCGTCTGATTTCTTGAAACACTGGAGCTTTGACATAGTTCTTTAAACTTTCAGAAAGACCAGAGAGTGAGTAGACCCACTTGCTTTTTATTTTCTCAAGGCTTATAAAGTATTTTTATTTTTATTTATTTATTTTGAGTCAGAGTCTCACTCTGTCATCCAGGCTGGAGTGCAGTGGCATGCTCACAGCTGCTGCAGCCTCAACATGCTAGGCTAAGGCGATCATTCCATCTCAGCCTTCCAAGTAGCTGGAACCACAGGCATGCACCACCATGCTCGGCTAATTTTAAAAAAAAGTTTATTATAGAGATGAGGTCTCACCATGTTGCTCAGGCTGATCTTGAACCCCTGAGCTCAGGTAATCCTCTCACCTCCGCCTCCCTGAGTACTGTGATTACAGGCTTGAGCCTACATGCCTGTCTAAAAATTTATTTTTAAATAATTAATTGGATTAAAAAATATGGTACATGATGAAATATTACACAGCCATAGAGAAGGACAAAATTATGGGCTTCACAGCAATTTGGATGGATTTAGTGTCTATAATACTGAGTGATCTATCACAGAAACAAAGAAGTGAGTACCATATGCTCTCACTCATAAGTAGACCTTGAACATTTACCATAATACTATAGGAAAGATATTGGCAGTAGCTGGAAACTGCCAGTGGAGGAGGGCAGGTTATGTAACATCAACTAGGGATCAAAAGGAACCAAAGGGAAGTCCAAGCTTTACCTGTACGATGACCAGCTGTATACCTAATCCTGAATTGTACCCTACATCTTTAAAATAAAAATTAAAAAAAAAAATTATTATAGATTTGCAGGAGGCTGCAAATGTACAGGGAAGTCTTCTGAATTCTACCCACCCTGGCCTCCCTCTCGTGCTAACAGTCCACACAACTACAGTGTAATATCAAAACCAAGAAACCAGTTGACACTGACACAACCTCTAGAGCTTATTCAGATTTCACAAATGATATATATGTACTCTGCAATTTTGGCCTGTGTAACCATTCCTACCAATCAAGATTCTTGGGATACTGTCACCACAAAACTCCCTCATGGTTACCCTTTATAGCCGTACCCATCCCCCTCTCCCTCACCCCTGGACCCTGGAAACACTAAAATTTTTCAATCTCTTTAATTATGTGATTTTATGATTATTGGTTAATAGAGTCATGTGGTATGTATCTTTGAGAGTGGCTTTTTCCAGTCAGTATATTTTCCTTGAAATTCATCCAAGTTATGTGTTTCAGTAGTCAATTCCCTTTTATTGCTAAGTAGTATTCTATGATATGAATGTACAAGAGTAGTGCTCTTTTTGTTAATAGTAGCAACTGTGTACAGTTGAGTATTGTTTTAAAGTTTCTGAAGTGTTTTCATAAATACCATTTCACCTTTAACAACACTGTCACAAGTCATTTGGGAAAACAGAATTATGAAGATGTAATTTGTTTATACTTATAGAATCATTAACTATGTTAACTTACAATTTGAACCCAGAACATCCAGTCAAGTGCTCTTCCCTATACTGCCCTAGCTGTGGGGATTACAGTTACAGTTGAGAAGTAAATCAAAAAATTTTGTTTTTCAAACATAATAGCAATGTCTAGGCCGGCTGACCAACCCTTCACCACCACCAGTGGTGTATGTGCATGCACACACATACACACACACTTTAGGTCGAGGGAATGTCTTGTCTTTTTTAATAGATTTTGTAGTAACCTGGGATTCAAGGGTACATGCATAGTCTCCAAACAGTGCCTGGCATTTACGATCTTTAGGATACCTCGATCTGCTGGTTTTTACTTTTTTCAGCATCAGAACCCTTTTTCCTAATGGACTCTTCCACAGAACCCCAACATGTATAACAGGTAAAAACAGTAGTTTTAAAAGTTCAAAATGGATCATCTTTGCTTGTAAGGGCAGACTTATGAATGGTGGGCATCTTCCCATGAATTCTGATGTGCAGTCAGAGTTGTGAGTGACAGTTGCTGACCTAGAGCACTTCAGTGGCTCATTTGTTTTTCTCTATTTGGCTACACAACAGTGAGACAAGCATGATGCACTTGGCTGTCATCAGGGTGACTTTTCCCAAATGGCATGCTGTGTAGTCACTTTGATTAATCAGAGATGGAAGGGAAAGCTTTGTTCAGAGAACAACTAATACTGGGCTACCCTAGCCTAGCAGTACAAAATTGTGTGTGCCAGTGACCTTGTTGTCCCAACATTTGACCTGGAGCATGTTGGAGTGTTCATTTTTTTTGATAGTCTTATTTTAAAAACATACACATTTTGCTGATCCTCTGAAGCCCTGTGGAATACTATTAGGAAATTGTATTATAACATGAACATTTATAATTTTTTAGTAGAATTTTTTTTTTTGATTGAAGTCTCCCTCTGTTGCCCAGGCTGGAGTACTATGGTACAGTCATGACCACCCCAGCGTTACCTGCTGAGCTCCGGCAATCCTTCCGCCTCAGCCTTCCAAGTAAGGAAGGCTTGGGCAGCATGGCCTTGCTGGGGAGCACTCATCACTCACTGCTAAAGAGTTGTACAAACAGATAAACGCTACCATGCCCGGCTACTATGCCCGGCTAATTTTTAAAAATTTATTGTAAAGACGAGGTCTCACCAAGTTGCCCAGGCTGGTCTTAACCCACGGGCTTAGGCAATCCACTCGCCTTGGCCTCCCAAAGTGCTGGGATTACAGGTTGAGCCACCGAGCCCAGCCTAGAATTTTTTTTAAAGTTTGCTTTTAAAAAGATGTTGAAGACTTTTGGTTTCTGCCTTATCTCTCTGGGCATATGCTCAGTTCTGGCCTTGGTGTCCTGGTCAGATCTGGTCTTTATCTGTTTGTACAACTCTTTAGCAGTGAGTGATGAGTGCTCCCCAGCAAGGCCATGCTGCCCAACTGTAAGCAACCCATTTCTGATCCACTGTGGGGCTTTCTCCATTGACCTGTCTTTAAGTAGCCCAGGTCATG